TAAATGTGGTGTTCACACGTTCTCATGTTAAACGTTGTTCTCATTTGATCCTAAGCCTATATATATCTACATGCACACAGTGATATATGATACACACACAAAACACTGAAGTATTGTATTTGTTAAAAGTTAATACCACCAATTTTAATAATTCTTCAATTTGAATAAATTTTGTGAATTGAAGACAATTAAAGTAAAAATATAAGTAAACATATTATCATCATGAACGCTGTTTCAAAATTCTCAACAATTATAATACAAGTAATTACATACTACGTATTATATAACATATAAATGTGTGGGTATTTATTTACTCACTTTCTCACTCTTAAAACTCATATATGAAGTAACATTTATGATAAATATTTTTAATCATCACTAGCTTATTATTATTCTAGTATAATATGTATTAATTCATTAACCATGATTAAACCGTATACAATTATGTATGTCTATATGTATATGTATTTGTTATATACTACAAATAATTTAATTTAATATGTGTGTACATTATTTATATATGTATATATATATATGTATATGTATATATATATATATATATATATATATATATATATATATATATATATATATAGAATAAAGATTAAATGAGAACATTGCTTAACGTGAGAACGTGAGAACACCACATTTACCCCAACGTGTTGCACAATGAAACTTGTATATTGCACGTTTTCACATTTTAACAATATTTACCAAAATGTCACCGTGTTTATTAATATAGGCTTAATTCGACCAATTAGAAAATGTGCAACAGAATAGCTCCAATGTGCACCCCATTAATTTAAATGTGAGTGTTCTCACGTTAAGCATCGTTCTCACTGGAACCGCACCCTATATATATATATATATATATATATATATATATATATATATATATATATATATATATATATATATATATATATATATATATTCTCACGTTGAGGCATGGCAGATTATTAGGAGTACGTACTGGCCAATGTTCTAGGGCTTTTGACCGGTGTATGTTTTGTACATTCTACTCCAAAGAATGTAAATATAAAACCCCCTCTAGTTAAAAGATTTATAACTTATTTAGTTATTCTTTATGTTTTATAAAAACTTTCATATGACACCAATATGCCATATATAAAGTTAAAAAAATATAAAGTTCTAAGCAGGGGTGGAACAAGTTATATATATATATATACATATATATATATATATATATAGGGTGCAACGAGTTGCACCCTAAAAAGTTGAGTTTTATTACAAAAATGTCATCTTGCCTTTATGTCCTTTCGATCAACTCATCGGACGGTCAAGATGAGTTTGTACTTTGTAAATTAAGAAGGCTTTGTATTTGATCTCTATTATATATATATATATATATATATATATATATATATATATATATATATATATATATATATATATAGAGAGAGAAAACTTCATGTCAGGCCGGCCTGACGGGCTGCCCCGTCCGGCCGAGCCTGTTTGGGCACCTTCCCGGTGGAATTTTTTGATGAAATTTTTTGAGCATGTTCCTCATCAAGTCTAGTTTGTCCACACCAAATTTCAGCTCAAAATTCGATCGGGAAGGTAGTCAAATGATTTTTGCAAGTTAACTGGTCCGGAAAATACATATTCCGGACCAGTTAACTTGAAAAAATCATTTGACGACCTTCCCGATCGAATTTTGAGCTGAAATTTGGTATGGACAAACTAGACTTGATGAGAAACATGCTCAAAAAATTTCATCAAAAACTTCCACCGGGAAGGTGCCCAAACGGGCTCGGCCGGACGGGGCAGCCCGTCAGGCCGGCCTGATGAGAAGAGCCCTCTATATATATATATATATATATATATATATATATATATATATATATATATATATATATGTATATGTTTGAGTATACATTTATAACGGGGACGGGGCGGGTGTAGCAATACCCGTCCCCCGCCCCATATTTTAACGGCGTAAAAATATTTCACCCATCCCCGCCCCCACCCCACCCCAAGCCCCGCCCCATCCTTCCCCCGCGGGGCGGTTCCCCACGGGTCCCCGCCCCCATTTCCATCCTTAGACTAGACTTGCACAAAAGCGGGCTCGGGCCGGGCTCGGGCCGGACTTTTCATAAGTTTTCTGCCCATCGTGTGTGGGCGGGCCCGGCCCGCAAAAACGGGCCTAACCCCATGTCCATACCCGCTCGTAAGAGCGGGCCGGGTAGTCCACCAGGCCGCCGGGCCTGGGAAAACTTTAAATTTTTCAAAATTATATAACTTATTTAATACTTTATAAATAATATTATAACATTTACAAAATAGCTAATACGCTTATAATGTATATAGGCCTTTCATCACATACACAAAAAATAATTACACAAAAATAATAATGAGAAAGTATATCTAAAATTTAAAATTCAAGCACAAAGTATTATCTTTAAATACAAAAATAGATATTATATTGGTTGGACTATTTGTTAAGAACTAACAAGTTAAATTTAAACATAATAAACTATAAATATGTATACAGATAAATTAGTAAATATAAAAATATACATGTGTACATGTAAATAAAACATAAATTAGTATATACTTTTTTTACTTAAATTAGTATATACAAAAATATATGTGTATATGGAAATTTCTACGGTACCTCTTTAAATATTAAAGGTACCGGTACCTTCATATTTGCAGCCAATCAAATTCTACTGTAAAGCCACGTCATTTGCATAGCATTATACGAGTAGTCCACATTCCACAATAAATAAGTGAAATATTAATTTGTTAACCGTTCTAGACTACGTCACTCCGTCAATTGTTACCGTTCTAGACTCCGTCGCTCTCTGTTATGCAACCTCCTTTCCTTTCTAAGGCCAAGTCAAACGATGACAAAATTATAGAAACATCAGCGAATCAAACCAGGATACAAGATCGATCAAAACTATATATAGAATCGAACATTATATTCAGGCATTCAGTTTGTGAACAAGGCGGCGGTCGGCAGGGAAAGGCTGGCCAACATATATATTTAGTAATTGAACTATTGAATGATGCCTGTTTCTTATTGATACCAGAAATCTTCATTCGGGAAGGAAGCTTAGTGTCAATGAGTTTCGGAATTTGAAGCCCTTGAGATTTGAGGAAGGAGTCAAGGAGAAGAGGTTGCAGTTGCTTGGCTTGTTAGGTAACTTACGGGAGTGACAGAGTCTCAGGCAGTTAGCAAACATTTGAGTATTCCACTTCATTATTAGGGATTAAAATGCAAATAAGAAACTTCATATACTAATATGATTCGATGTTAACGTGGCATCACATCAGGAATTGATTGGCTAAAAAATTTAAGGTAGAAGCGCAGTTATCTTCAAGAATTCATTTGAATGCCTTCCCGATTGAAGTTTTAGCTGAAATTTGGTATGAGTAAACTAGACTTGATGAATAAGATGCTCAAAAAATTTCATCAAAAAATTCCACCGGGAACCACTCCAAATGACTACGGCCAGACAGAACTTCCTAAATAAGGGCTTATTTGACCTTTTTTGGTTAGTACATGGGCCTATTTGCACCTTTTCTCTTTTAGATTAGTTCAAACAACCTCCATTGATGGAGCTCAAGATTCTTGTATCATGTAAATTGTGAGGAGAGCAGATTAATGAGAAAGAGCGGGCTTGGACGTTAGCCTAAAAAGTCCCGTGGTTTTCTCCCTTTCCGGGTTTCCACGTAAAAATAGCTAGTTCATACACTTTCATATTGATATTCTTATTAACTTTTATACCGAATCCATTGTCCTTAATATCCGAAGTTTATGTTGGGCTTTCGGATCTACGGACTTAACCTCAACACATTGTTCAAGGATCATTTAAAATGTCTTGAATTGAGGGATCACTTACGTTTTGACAAAAGTGTGATCAGCTTGAACAGTTTTATTTTCAATAATAAAATAAAACATAGCAGCAAAGGCATTCAATTTTTGAATTGAAACGAGGTAAATTAGTAACTAGTCTTATATATATATAAAGCACAATTTGTGTGTGTGCACGCGCGCACACATATATAAAGCATATTTTTTGTGAAGAATTTATTTAGCTGTCTTCTTGATTGAATTTTTAGCTAAAATTTAGTATGAATAAACTAGACTTGATGATGAACATGCTCAAAACTTTTCATAAAAAAATTCCACCGGGAAGGACCCCAAATGGCCTCGGCCTGATGGGAACTAATATGATCGCCATGGGTCAGGTCCAAAATGGGTTCGAATCCGGATCCGGTAAACGGTTCTAAACTTAGACTCGTACCCTCAAATAAAGTGTTAAATTCAGATCGGTTCCGGGTCTATACCCGACCCATTAACAGGCCTAGTTGTGGATGGTGGTTGGGACTCTTATGGCCTGTTTGTTTGGGGGTTAACCTAGGTATTGAAGGTTCAATTTTTAGTTAACCCCGTTTGTTTGTGTTTTTGCAACAAGAACCTAAGTTATGACTTAACCTCACATAACTCCCGAGAACCTCGAAACACCTCAAATTGGAGAACCTCCGAATCGGGGGGTTCGGAGGTTAAGTTCCCGTTCAACATAAAATAAACTAGAGTACCTTCATCCAAACAACATTTATGACATTAACCTAGGTTCACCTTATTTATTTCCAAACACCATTTTACGCATGAACCCGAGTTCACTTAGTTTAACCCAGTTTTTATTAAAACTTAGGTTTACTTTATTACACTGGGTTTACTTAAGTTCACTTCATCCAAACAGAGCATTAGTATCCAAACAGAGCATTAGTGGTCTATCCAAAATCATAAAATTGGTTAGGTCGAGACCTAGGGTTCATGCATTAGCCTCAGCTCGGGAAGCAATTCTATGGTAGGAGTGCATACTAAGCCCAACTAATGTTGGTTAAATACTTGGAGAGAGAAATACTAATCTTGATATTTGGCAGATGAAGAATGTGAGCACTTCAAGCGCGTGGTTCATGAATCATGAACCAACGTTACGAGTTCAAAACCCTTTGTTTGATGAGTGTATACGCCCCGTAATGGTATGCTGCTCGGTGAAAGATTTTAGTCGAAAGAATTTGTGGGTAAAACGCCTTGGCTTGGATCTTTACAAACTCTACCAATGATAACTCTCTAAGAGAGTCTTAAAAGTTGTGCAAAAAGGAAATGAAAATCACCCCCAACATTGAGGATTTCAGAATATGAATGAACAAGCAACTGAAACCAACGCAGCTGTCAGGAATATAGAGACAAGGTTGACAGCATTGTTGTCGAGAACACTAAGACCGGATATTTTCTTCACAGTTGGTCCTGGTTTGCCAACAACCTGCAAAGATTGCATACAACACCCAAGTAACTTCAACTTTAGTACATCTAAATAAATCTCAAGACACATTTCAGATTGCTTGTGGTGGAAAAAGCTTTATTTTGTTCTAATACAATCCAAAACAATTTAATGTTTTGTCTGAGAGCTGAACTGTGGTTAAATAATACTTTTTAGACTTTTTTAGCATAAAATGCCAAACATTTATAGCTCTTAAAAGCATCATAATTCTCAAAAGTATTTCAATAAGAAGTTATTTCCAACCTCAGCTCCCAATCAGGCCTTAGTGTGTATAGTCAGTTCATTATGATAGTATACATGGAGCTGGTACCCTGGTAGATTATGGATATGAATGGGAAATTAAATATTTACCTTATTGCGAACAGAGCAGAACCCACTGAATTGCAATGTGGCTCCCAGTAAAGAATCTATAAGACTTCCACAGAGCCCAGCCGCAGCAGAAAGTGGTATTACTAATAGCTGCTTCAGAGCCACACTGTAGGTGCACTTGGTTGTTAGAAATCCTAGGAGAACAAATGTTAACCCAATGACACTACCCGCCACTGCTGCTGCTAAAAGTCCTGCTCTTGTCACTCCACCATTTGTGCCCCTCTTTACCCGCTGATCATAAAAAAGGAATGCGTTAGGATCCGCATATCCAATGGAAAAAGATATACTCCATAAGAAATACTTCATTCAATACTTTTACTCACTCTAGTAGGTTTTTCACGAAAATTAAGGGTAAAGTTGCAAGGGTGGTGAATACTGAATAGTATAAAAATGAAAAAAAGTAGGAAAGAAGATGAAGAAGTAAAATATTTATGTCTTTTGATAAGGTGGTTGTTGAAGAAAAAATTGGAGCAAGTAATAATAAACTTCCATAAAATAAAAGAGGAGGTAGTAAAACTGGACATAGTAGTAGTTAAACTTCCATAAAATGCAAGTGGAGTAAGTAAAAGTGAATGGAGATGGTAGTTGTTTCTCAGAGATAGTAGTTGCAATGGAGATTGGAGCTTTCCCCCACATTAATATCCTCCATCACAATTTTAATTATTAGTCATGAAGAATAAATGAATAACTGCAAAGAATAACTTAGAATTTCCCATATATTAAGGACACTTGAAGGAAAATCAAGCCAGCAACAGCTTGCACTGCAGTAATCATTGTCCTGGAGAGATGGAATACACCATAATTTGTTTTTTTTTTTTGGGGGGGGGGGGGCTTTCAACAAGCAAATTGATCCTTAATTCCTCATAATTGGTTAAACTCACATGTTGACAATAACCTGGCTCAAGGCGGTATTTCTTGCAGATGTCTCAAAGACGCGCCTTAGTAAAGCAAGAAAGACATGTAAGGCGTCCCTTGTGAACATCAAACTCCTTGGCCCAACAAAAGGCTTCAACACTTGCGAGTAGAGGCTTATGAAGAGCGGGGGGGGGGGACTTTCCCCCAACACACACACATATTATATGTACATACATCCACACTTTCATTACTAGTAAAATATGTGTTTGCATAATATGTAGTTCATCTTTTAACCATAGTTTTCTGTTACTAATTTCAATTATTCTAATTAAAAACTTTTTTTATGTTCCTAATCAAAACTTTAAAAGTATGAATATGTATATTATTCATAAGTTAAGTCATTTGTCATTTGTCATCACATTTATATATATTGTTCATTGTAGTGGTATAGTAGTTGTGATCTATGAGATGCATGAGTAACCGTTATTTTGTGACTCCGACCCAAATAAGGAAAAAGCATGCATCTGTCACTGGTTTTAAATATTTTATTTAGATTTTGTAATTTTTTTTACCTGAAATGTTTTATTTGATCAATGCTATTAATAATGTTTTGATAGATATTCTTTACCAAGTCTTGTACTCCGTATATGTTTAATTTCTCCCCTCTCAACTCAAACCATGGTTAAGCCCCTGCTTTGGGTGTTAAGGTCAGTGAGGTACTGAGGTGCTTTCGGGACGCTTTTAACAACAATGCTGGTGCCAATACTCAAATAAAGGGCTTCATCCAGTTAATTTAGAGTGTTGTACAAAAAGAGGACATCGAAAGAGTAATGTACACTCCTTATAGATAAGGGATTGAAAAAGGATGTCTTTCTCCTGTCAGTAACATATCATATTGGAAGAATAATTAGAAAGAAAAGATGATACCAAAGAATAATCAGTTTACCTTGAATGTTGTAATTAGACGAGGTTGCTCGTTACTAAGAATCCCAAGCTCTGAAGACCAAGTGTCCCCATTGCAGCAGCAGTAATGACCAATGATACCACCTATTAAAGAAGTGATGACTTGTGATTGTTTCGAGTCAAGACACACGTCATGCGTACCAATCAACTTCCAAGCAATCAAGACCATGACTGTTGCAATGCCACTATTGAACAGAACTTGAATCCTGTAAAATTAAACAGTTGTGGGTGATCAGAGATCAACCTAGCCACCAGAACATACAAACAACTTTAATGTCCTGCAGTCCTGGCTGGAAGGCTCACAGCTGACTAGCACTCTGAACTCATGACTCATCATTGCTTAAGTAGAACGCATATGCATGTAATCCAAACTGTAAAATATATACACATATTATTTCCTTAGGAATTAAGCATCACATCTCGTAAGTTGTGTTATCCTGTGTAAGTTGTGTTATCCTGTGTAAGCAAATCCTTCATCCCTAGCAATATAATTCACCACAATCAACATTTTTCTAAGTGGTTGTAACACAATTTTCACAAGACATGATAGAAGCTTCCCTATGTCCTCAATGCTTTTGCACCTGGCACTTGAATTCCCATTTACAATCGTAGTATTCTTGTTTCAATATTTATTATCTTCTTATTAACATAATCATGTATTGAATTATTTTACAATTTCTTAGAAGCAATTTTTTTTGCAATTATCGCCCATTTTAGTACAAAAATAATGACTATGCAATATGTATTAGATAAGAAGATACTTGGACCATTCTTATTCAGTTGCAGTACATTGACTTCCAATTCACTAATGAAGGACTTTGACCATTAATATTGTCAATTGTTATGAGTTAAAAACTACGGAGTATATAAGATGATATTTCGAAACTTTAGATTGAGGCAAATATAACAATATACTCCGGTCAAAGCGGAGTATGTCAATGGTGAAAAGTCAAATTGTCGTCAGGTAGTACATACTCCGTATTTACGGAATACATTATTATTACTCCATTTTCAATAATTTACACGATTAAATTCAAATACGCAGCACGAAAAAATTACCGCGAGAGAGACAGAGCGAGAGCGAAATTAGATACAGTACCAATTGCGTTGACCTCCCTCCTTAAATTCAGCATCCAGATTTCGCTTTCTCTCCTCTCCCAATTTGGTGAACTTCGATGACGTAAAGAAGAACACAAGCAGCATCGCTCCAAACCTCAATCAAATCAAGTGGAATACACATACGTATGAGCAATTTTAAAGTTCAAAATAAAGTAAGAGAAGGTGTGCGGCACACACAGACACATACCTATAATTGACGGCTATGTGAATGGACATGACAAGGAAGCCGGCGAGAGCACCGGAGAGGTCGAGAGATTTTCTTAAGTAAGCTCCGGCGGCAATCACCGTCGAGATTAGCACAGCGACAACCGGCTGAACCGGAAGTTGTTCCATCGCTTCGCCTGATTGTTACCGCTGCGAGCAGAGAGTTAGAGACGATGACACAGGAGTTGTGAGCAGGTTTGTTGTGGAAGTTAGTTGGTTAAGAATCAGACCGGAGTTTATAAGTAGCATACCTTTCTTGACCAGACGAATGAGACTTCAGTCCTTTTCCGTAGATGGATTTACTTATCATTGTGGAGTAATCAGTGATTACTCCGTAATACGGACCAACATTATACGGAAAAAGCCTATTACGGAATACGGAGTATAAAAATGAGTAAAAAGTACTCACAATTTTTTTTTTTATTTGTACACTTATCAATAACCCAATTTTAAACTTTTGATCCTAAAATTCTCTACAACCCATGTATTTTGGGGGTGTCAAAGTGGATCTTTGGCACCCATGGGGAGGGATTCCTGTAGGCTTATCCACCGAGTACGAATGGAAGAGAACAAACAAAGGTTTCTAGTTGACTGCATGAAAAAAAGCAGTGGGCCTAAAAGTTTAAATCTCACTTTTTTTAAAAGTGTAATAACTCCTTTATTTATATTCTAATTTTTATAAAAAATATACCGAAATTCGTAATTTTTTATTATCTTTCAAATGACACCAATATTGTATATATAAGTATTTTTTTGCATTTTCACCTATTTTTTCTAAAATAAGCCCGAAATAACATTAAAAAATTAAATACCAAATTTATATATTTTTACATCGGAATGTTTGACTTTTCAAATCATGATTATTCATAAAAAAGTTAAATTGAAAAATATTAATGTATAATAATAAAAGTAATATTTTAATTTTAAAAACTTTGCGGGGTGAATATATTGACGGAACTGGATTCCAGTGAAAACCGGATTGATTGAGTGAATACGTATAAAATGATGGGAAATTTGATTTATTGACGGGGCTGGATTGCGGTTAGCCTTAGACATTATGGATGTTTTTACTTGCATTGTTTTCCGTCTCATATAAGATCAGATCAAACTTGGATAGTTATAAAATACACAGAAACTAGACATTTACCAGATCAGACCAGATCAAACAGGACCAGACCAACAAATTTCAATCTAAGTAAAAACATCCAGTTTGGCACAATTAGCTGAAAAGATACTTCTATGGTCGGTATGTTTGGCACAACTAGCTGAAAAGATAATCTTATGGTCTTTTTAGTAACTGTTAACTTTTAGCGATTGAAAAGATCTTAAAAGAAAAAGGTGGTTGTTTAATAATTTTGTTTGGCGTACAAACTATTAGGGTTAATTAATGCTAAAAGCTATAAACATTTTTATCAGATGTAACTCAATGTAACATCTCAAAAAATATATGGAGTATTTTATTTTTAAAAAGGCTCTTAAAAATTGTCATACCATACATTCAACTAGAAGTTTTATAATATTTTTTTTAAAAATAAACTAGTTAATTATTACGGAGTATTAATCAAATCATGGTCTAATGAAGCAGAAATACAAATGGGAAAATGATAAAGCTAAACATAGCGGTCTGACATAGAAACAGCAGCTCGAGCAAGATCATGAGCTACCCGATTCGCAGACCGCTTCACATGAGCAAACTAACTACTCGTGAAACTAGTCAAAATATCTCTTATATCATCAATGATCACCCATGAAAGCGAGTCATCAGAACCCGAATTAATGCTTGAGATAATCTGAAGCGCATCAGATTCTACATCAATGTAGTCCCAACTAGATTGTTTAAGCTAGCTCAGAAACTTCTTAAATAATAGAAAATGTTAGAAGGTAAGGACTTATGCGTACTAAACATGCACATAATGGGTAAAAAAAATTATTTGTACACATATCTTACACACTAAGGAGTATAAAGTGTAAATAGAGTATTTTTTTCTCCCCTTTCTCTCTCCTCTCTTCCCTTTCTTTAGTCATTCTCATTCACATATACAATCAAAGAGTTAAGGCCCCGTTTATTTTCCAGCGGGTTGGTGTCTACACGTTGGAAAATGGAGCGTTTTTTAGTTAAGAAAAATCAGCGTTTTGGGTAAAACGTTATTACCCAAATGGGGCCTATATCAAGCTCTTCTCTTCTTAAGCCTGTTTGGTAATCCTTATTTTCAGTTTATCAATCTTATCAATTTATTATCATAAAAAAATCTTGTATAAAGCGTATAGTAATCAAATACTCCGTAAGCGATTTGAAATTGCTTTTCTGATTGAATTGACTATTTTTTAACAATTTCTCCAATTTGAGTGTTACCAAATAGTTCTTTCTTTCATAACTTTTTCCCATTACTTGCACAAAGCACCTCAATTCTCCTTTTCATCCTTTTATTTTCTTTTGATTTCCCTCGATTACATGTAAGTTGGTCACACATACATTGCAACATTCATTAGTCCACCTATAAATAAATGCATATTTTGTTCATATAGACAAATAAAATTGATCATACAGACAATTAAAAATAATCATAAAAACAATTGTTATCTATACGCAGCGCAACTATTACTCGTCTGATAAAATCTATCGAAACACAAAAAACTAAAAATGATCACATACACAATTATTGTTTATGAGCAACACAACTATTGCTTGTGTGATAAAATTTAACTAAAAAACCGTAATTTGATCACAGAAAGCTATTGTTTTTGCATTGACAATTATTTTATGTGTGCACACACAAACATTGGGTTGCACACCAACAATGGTGATGGAGTTAAATCCAACTATGAGAGCTAAATAAACGTAGGTATGAGAATAATATGGCAGCGTAAGACAGTTTTGCTCTTTATTCCGGAGAACTAGCAATTGTCTATCCTCGGTTCAGAATTCAATCCGGGATCCGATCCCCTGGTAGGGTGTTTACATCAAGTATTTATAGAGATTAGGGAGTATAATTATGGGAGGAATCTAATACAATAAATGCTCAATTAATGAACTATATTCTTGCTCAAAATAGAACTCTACGATGCTTGATTCCCATACGATTACTTTCTCCTTTTAGTCGCCGTCCTCTGGATGAGTTCTGCCTGTTGCCAAATATCTATCAACGAGTGATAGCTCGCCACGTAAGCCCTAGGAATATCCCGACCTCACTAGAACTCCGCCCAGGCTCGAGGTCTGCTGTCCAGCCCGGCCTGGTTGTGGGTTCCTATTGTGGGCCTAATTCCTAATGGGCTAAGCGGCTTTTAATTATGAATCCCGTTTATGGGTTGATCCTGTAATTAGGCTGATCCCGTTTATGGGCTAATCCTGTAATTAGGTTGATCCCGTTAAGAGCTGATCCAGTTTATGGGCTAATCCTGTAATTCAGGTTGATCGCGTTAAGGGCTGATTCCGTTTACGGGCTGTACTATGTAATTGGGCCATGGTCTGAATCCGTGATACCATCAAATGACTTATGTGTCTATCTGGTGGCTGTCAGGAGCCAATAAATATATTTTGACACCAAAGCTAATGTTTATGGACAAATACAACTCTTAAAAAAACTATTCAGAGTGATTAGAACTTTTTATGTGAGTGCTCCAATTATCTATAACTGATAAACGTCTACATAATGTGTAAGTTTTGTGTACACAAAACAACTTTAAATTAAAAAAAAAAAGGTGATGATTTGAAGGTAATAAATGGAACTATTCAGAGTGATTAGAACTTAATACTTCCTCCGACCCGGAAAATTGTTCCCGCATTAACTTGGAACGGAGTTTAAGAAAGTGGAAATAAAGTGTAAATGTATGGTTGTGGTTGAGTAAGAAAAAGATAAATGAATTGTAGTCACAAAAAACTTTCTAAAAGGGGAAAGTGGAACAATTTTTTGAGACGACCCAAAAAAGAAACCGGGAACAATTTTCCGGGACGGAGGGAGTATTAAATACGTACTCCGTATCATATATGCATTGTATTTTGCATTTTCTAGGCCTTGTGGCCGAAAATCCAGAAATTGCACTTCGTTAATTCGTGAATGGGAAAAAAGGAACAAGATCCTCTGCCGCACGGCAGAGTGCCTTGCACGCAGGGGTCCGTCCGATGGAGAAGAGAGGGCTTCGGGATCTGTGCGTTGAAATCTCCGACCGTCCACGTTTTGATCGGGCGGTTCCTGAGAGCCGGGCACGGTGCCTTGCTTTGAAGTATTGCAGAGGCTCTGGATCCGGAAAAAAATTGATTTAGAAACTGATAAATGCAAGAACCTAATTCTTTAGGTTTGATTCAATTCCATTACTAAAAACTTAAAACTCATTAATTACTCAATGACTAAAAATCATGCAGTTAAGACCTTAGAACTCACAACTCCATGACTAAAAATCATTCAAATGAACTTGTGTAGCACAATGTCTCCATTGCTCGCGTATGATTTGTTTGGGAAGAGAAGAAATCGTTATTTACAGTAGGCTACGCAAACATATCTTTATGAAGCCACCAACACCCATACATAACAGCAACGAGTGGTGTTCTGGAGCGTTTCAAATGTTTTAATTTCAATGTCTAACTAACAATCATACTCCGTAAGCAACTTGCGTACATTACCATTTGAATTTTGATTCAGTCTTTATGCCTTTTTAATCTAGTCCAGTCTTTTCGGTCTTTTTAAGTTCAAGGGAAAAGAGTCAGATACGCCATCAAACTTACATAAAAAGATCAAATAAACCCTTATATAGGAGGCTCTGTCCGGCCGTCAGCATTTGGAGCGGTTCTCGGTGGAATTTTTTGATGAATTTTTTTAGCATCTTATTCATTAAGTCTAGTTTACTCATACCAAATTTCAGCTAAAACTTCAATCGGGAATGCATTCAAATGAATTCTTGAAGATAACTGCGCAGTTAAAATACATGACTGAACATTATTAGTAATTACGTATAGTGCTTCTCTCTCTAGGGTGGTTCACCGTCACTAGGGTTTTTCTCTCCGCTGTCGATATTATCAAGGAGCGGCCTGCGGCCGTCTCCCTACATAGTTAACGTTTTTTGTTCCGCCGAGCTTCCCTCGTGCGGCTTGGATTCTCGTAGAACGAGAGCTTCGTGCGGTTTTCCTTTTGGGAGTTTCGGAACGTGAGTGGAACGCAAGTGCAGTGGGGTGCGACTTGAATATTTGTGGGCAAAGAAACACAAGGTAACATGACAGAGCAAATCTCAATAAGCAACTTGGCGAGCGCAAGAAGGACAGGGTTTCAAACGAATTTTTTGGGGGTTGAAAATTTCTTCTACCATACTATAGCAGCCTGGTCTCCTCCCGAACCACCTCCGTGCAAGAAAGCAATTTGAGGAAAGTTTTTATTTTCGTATTATTTTTTCCTTTCATAGTACTTATTTTTATTTCAGTTCGAGTAGGTTTGGTTGGAGTATTTTTTTTTTGAAGAAATTTTGATAGGCAGTGTTTCACTTCCAGTCATTTTAGTCTTCTTCTTGCCGTTTTGTGTCTAGCGAGTCAGATTGTTTTATATGAGTGGCTGACTCTAAATCTAATCCTAAGGCTTATGATCGGATTTGTAATTGTTGTCTGGATTTTATCTTGCATGTTTGCTCTATATTAATGAAAAGCTGTTTTGATGATTAAAAAAACAATCATACTCTGTGTTATACTATTTACTGTATTAATTTTTACTATTATTGCTAAAAAATATACTCGTATTTAATATTTGTAGTATCATAGCTTTTTGATAAAATCAATGTATTTAATGGATTTATTGAAGGCTTGTGATATTTGATCTACATATTTCATGTGTATACAACTCTATTTTTCTTGGTAAATGTATTATTTTAATAAAAAATGAAACGAGTGGAACCAGACAAGGACCAATCTCGTGAACCAGCACCAGCCCAATGCCAAACTATACCCGGGTCCGATACCGGTAAGCGAAACGATTAGAACATGGATCGACCTGTCTAGGAACCAAAAAACCTGCACGGGGTTAATTGCTTCCAGCTTGGGTGAAACTCACTATTAGATTATTAATATCATATACCGGGGCGTTTTCCACCATTCAATAAACTTATACCACCATTTTGAGCAAAAAATGCGGTCGTCTCCTAGGCACGTCCTAGGGTTTTTTCCGGCGGCGGCCTATCCAGGCTGTGGGTGTCACGCCCCGGTCTGGCCGGACGCGCTAACAACCGCCGCATAATCCGATTAAGGCAACCGCAGTTCACCCTACTCGAACCATGCAAGGCGTACATGAATACCATTCACACAAGTACATCCATAAACAATCATAAATAAAGCATTTCAAATATACGCAGCGGAATACAAATACTTTTTAAAAAGTCAAAGGCCCCACACAGGGCGAACATGAGCACGCAGGCTCCCAAATCATTTATAATTTAAAATAGTTCCATGAGCATTATTTTATTTATACCAAAATAGAACTGGAAGAAGCACGAACCACGTCTTCTCTCCATGGATCACCCAAAGCAACGGGAACAGGAAGCAAGCTCTAGCTTCTACCTGAAAACTGTGAGGTGGCCTCCCCCGTGAAGGGGAGGTCAGTACTTGTAAGCATTTGACAAGTACAATGACAACTATACTGAATATAATTCATGTTTCAAACACAAGACCCTCAACATAGAGTGATACTATATTATGGGCATAACCTACAGCTACCCCATTTCAAATCACTTGTATAGAATATATATACCAAGTCAAATAGTCAACCCGTAGGTCCATTTGTATTTCAAAACAATTCCCCTTGTATAGCCCTTGGCCTATTCTAGCATATAGCAATCTCGAGAGGTTACCTCACCCCTAGTCTAAACCCAACTCCATCGAGAGGGTTACACAAATTATCCTTTGTACTCATCCACATTGGACTTACACATCCTACGGTGTATTTATTCATTTTGGGCTTACACACCCAGTATAATATCTTTGATTCATTTAGGGCTTACACACCCCGTATAATCTTAGTTCGTGTAGGGCTTACACACCCCGTATAATACTTTACTCATTTAGGGCTTACACACCCCGCGTAATACTTTATTTGTGTAGGGCTTACACACGCCGCGTAATACTTTTTTCATGTAGGGCGTACACACCCCGCGTAGTATCATTTATCCGTTAGGGCTTACACACCCCGCGTAATACTTTATTCGTGTAGGGCTTACACACCCCGCGTAATACTTTATTCATGTAGGGCTTACACACCCCGCATAGTATCCTTTATCCGTTAGGTCTTACACACCCCGCGTAATACTTTATTCGTGTAGGGCTTACACACCCCGCATATATCCCCGTATACTCATAGTATGCGAGCAATCATAATCTATCAACCTCGGGCTAGTCTTCATCAAGACTCCCCGGGCTGCCTTCATATAGTCTCGGTAGACTCCACCATTTCCTTTGAGTGTGACCGTAGTCCATCACTCATTCTAAGTTCATGCCTATCTTATTCAACACTGTAGATAGCACACACAATTAATCACTACGGATTCATATCACTTTGATCATATCAATAACTCAAGTATTCCTTACTTCACATTTAATCACTTTGCCTATCCACATAGGTATCCATATATCCCTTTTTAGATCTTATGGGATCACACATTTATCAACATTTGTCTATATCATTCTAATCCTCAATATCAATTCAATAATTAATATATTTCAAGGATTTCCCCCCTCATGCATAATACCTTTGCTTATCCACCTTTGTAATATCATGTATCAATTTATATGACCACACAGCAACACATTTATTCACATTGAAGTATATCATTTAATTCCATCAAAATCACAATTTGATTACTTAGGTAATCTCATGCTCAACTCACGAGTTATAGACAATATAGTCAGCCATCCTCACCTTAAATATGTCCAGCAAGGTTGCCTATTGAAGCCCCGTCGTTAAACCTTCAATCGGGAATGATCCGAAACAAGCTTGGATGGCAGAGGGCAAAAGCCGCCCGGCTTTTGCAAAAGCTGCCCGGCTTTCGGGTTCTGCTGCACGAAAACAGCACCTAGAAGTGGCGGTTTCCGGCGATTTCGATTCCTATCGATTCAACAACTCTTCTAAGTTAATTACCAACACTTTATATCATATTTCTACACTTTTAAACGTGTATAACATCCCCTATAATCCATCATATGATTTCTATAAAATCATATACGGAAAATATATTAATTGGAAGAACAAGAACCGGAGCTACGAGATTCTTACCGTTAGGCTTCGTTTTCTATCGGATTTCCTCCTCTTTTTGACTCCCTTTTCTCCCTGAGTTTTTGCTATGAGTATGAAGCTCTCCAAGGCACCCTCTCTTTTACGTATAGCCTCCCAAATGAGAGGATGAGGAGATTCCCCTCCCTTATCTTCTATTTTTAGAAAGGTTGGGCCAATTTAGTTGGGTTGGGTCCGTGGGCTGCCTCCTTTTAATTAATCCGGCCCGAAGCTATTTATAACTTAATCCTCCCGTTTATTATGGGTTACATTTTATATGGGTTACCCCGAATTAAAGTGTAGGGAACCCTTCACCCTTATACTTGCTATTTTGGGTAATATGGGCAAGAACACCACTTTGGTTACTTGATATATCTCGGTCGCACCCGAATGACTTCTACTCATTTATTTATATTATTTTAGGCTAGTAAACCTTAATAGGTCGGTCCTAAAATGTATTGGATAGTCCTCCCCAATATTCCGGGCTCAAACCCATTTATCTTTCTATTATTAGTAAGTGGGCTCGAATGATCTCTCATATTATTTATTTACCTTTTATTCGGTCCGAACAATTATATATTACATACTTCCTTATCCTTAGGCTTTTTATTTAATTTATCTTGGTCCAAGAATATGTATTAGTTAGTCCCTCCCCATGTTTGAGGTTCGACTCACAATTTAGTTAATCGGTATTAATTTAATCAATTAATCATTTCTAGTATGATCAATATACTTGTAACTAGTTTTCAAAGTGAATATATATTCATGACTTTAACTAGTCATCCTTATCGAATTTAGTATTTGCACTATCAATTTGATTTTTAATATTAATGGATTAATAAATCCAAGTTTAAATTGGGAGCGGTGTCACAGTGGGTTCGGCTGATCTCTCCCCGGTAGGCAACTTATCTCATATATTTTCTCAGGGTATTGAGTTTTGTTGTCATCGCGGGGTTTGTTTGGTTCGTTTTTGTTTTCTTTCTGACTTGCAATTGCGGTGAATCTGGATTCTGTCTGGACGAAGCTTTTGGTTTTTCAGCTTTACAAGAGCAGCGAACAAGCGAGGAAGCTTTCAGGAGGGTTCGAGGCTTCTGATTTTGGCAGGGGGCGGGTTTAGCAAGGGGAAGATGGGGTGCTGCAGAATGTTGAAGAAGAAGTTGAGCTGTTATTCTTCCGCAGTTTGGGAATGAGCTTTGACGAAACAGATGGCTATTGGTGATAGCATGGAGTTTCTGGTGGTCGACATCGTGTTGTCGGACTGGAAAATCAAATTTCAGGGGTTCATTGGTGGCCTATGTGTGAAAGAAGACGAATGGATGTTGATCCGCCCACCTCCAGAACCGCCGCCTTGGAGGAATTCTGCGACTAGGGTTTGGACGAGTATTTCTATTTCTGCTGAGTCGATTGTGTTTTGTTTTTATTTTATTTCGATTGTGTTTTGTTGCTTATTTATTTTATGCTGTAAAACTTTTGCACTTGGATTGGGGGATGAGAGACCTGCGGTAATCGTCGTGGTTTTGAATATGCCCAATTTAGGATTAACGAGTTATATTGCGTTGTCAAAGGTGATTAACTCAGAGTCTCGTCCATATGCGGATGATTACTGTGGTCCTTTTGTAATTTCAACCCCTTTCTGAGTGCTTTTTATGAATGAATGCAAGTTCGATGATAAAAAAATATCATATACCAGAATAACTCTAAAAAAAATTATAATATCACATGCTCCTCAAACTGCCAACTCCATTTTCAATTATCATCACTAAGGGTAATTATCCTCGCTAAGGGTGGACCCTGGCCAGGCTCTGGGCCAGGATTGGGCGGGCTCCAAGTCCAAAAACTTCCAGCCCGGTACCAGCCCGGTTTGAACCAGTTGCGGTCCGAGCCCGGTTTGAACTGGTTCCGGTCCGGACCCGGGCCAGGCCTTAATTATTATTCTTTAATTTTGTATTTTCGAATTAATTCCACCCCCCCCCCCCCCCCCACTCCCAAACCCCCCCGTCGCCCATAGGGATGGACCGGTTTCGGGCCGACCGGCCCGTGGCCCAGTCCGACACTGTTTGGAACCGGCCCGGCCCAGCCCGGAAACCGGGCCCTGGACCGGTCCGGTTAGGCCCGAGCCGATTGTTACTAAGGGCGGGCTCGGGTCATGGAAAATAGGAACCGGTCCGGCCGGACCTGGTTCGGGCCTTTTATGTTTTTTTTTTTTGTTTTTTCAATTTTTTTTGTTTTTCCCGGGTTGGGTTTCGTGTTTCGGGGGGTTGGGGGGGTCGGGGGTTAATTAGAAATTCAAAACAAAAATAATTGAACCGGCCCGAACCTAGTGGAATCCCGGGTCGGTCCCCCCCCCCCCCCCCAAGAAAAAAGCGTGGTTTGGACCGGCCCGACCCGGAACCGGTCCATCCCTACGCGGCCAACCCCACCCACCTAGCATCCAGCCCAATGGGAGAAAAAATTAATTGGTGACCATTAGGCCCGGGCCGGGCTAGTCCACCAGAATAGGAGCCCGATGCCCACCTCTTTCTTCTTCTGGGTCGGGTCCCGGGCCAGGCCGGGCCTGCGGCCTGCCTAGTGGCGGATCAGAACGGGTAGCAGGCCGGGTAGGCCCATCCCCGTCCATCCCTAATTCTCGCTCTATAGCCTATAGGCGGTGTTCGTTATTTAAACTTTTTTCCATCATTCCTCAAATTTTAATCACCCATAAACTTTAGATAAAAGTTGTGTAGGTGTGATGATGCCATCTCATCTACATATTGCGAGAATTCGTTCACACTTGGTGCGTTTGCAAATTTTGCTCGTCACCACTCACTCAATTCAAAAGAAATTCTCCATTTATTCTTTTTTATTATTTCTTTTACTTTTTATTTACTTCTTGAAATTGCAACACATGCATGTTATTCTCGTGTCCTTGTACTTCTTTTTGCACAAGGACCACAACTCAGTAACGCACAAGTCCATAAATTCATGCATTTAAGGATAAACCCAAAGAGTGAAAATATACCCACTTATGTCCCTTTACACACAAGGGGTGCACAGTTGATAAGGTGAATATCTCTAGATTTGTGTTTTCACCTATTCATACTGTTGGGTTACAAGTGGTCTAAGAATCATGTTTAAGCAACCTTTGTGAATTGTGAGTGCTTTAGTCCTATTTCAGGAATTCTCATTCGCAAACTACTATCACAACCGGTTAGTCAAAAAAATAACATGATATTTCGTGTAAGAGCTTAATACGGAGTACAAAATAAGGCCCAGACACCCCCGGTTTCAAATAAACACTAGGTAACACCATATAATTTTGAAAAGAAACATTATGACTTCTCAATCAAGTTCTTAAGCCATGCTAACTGACGAAGCATATGTGGCAACCCGGGGAGTTTAGTTGTTCTATCAACAAATTGCATACACGATGGACATTAGTACAAAGTATGGGGCATTACCAATCAACGTCACATGCCTTTGCAGTTCTGGCTTTGTCTCCTTGGAAGAATATATTGAGGACCTACCATGATTAACGGGCAAATGATAAGTACAACATTACCTAACATACGACGTAGTTAAGGTATTGCGTAATGAGATGTGACCAAAGTCACCAAATACATATGTAATGTAAATTTGCACTAAAACATACTACGTACTATACATTTGGTTATATTACATGGGATGTTGTTGGAGCACAATTATCATCCGTATATTGCAACAAATATTGGCCAAAACTAGCTAGATATTTGGAGAAGATCCGTACATGTGTGTGTAAAATATTCTCTAATTTTAGGTTCTTATTTACACTTGTAGATCAAAAGTTCTCCATAATTTTTCTTATATCCTCTTCTTCCCAGCAACATGTTGCAACCATAGTTGTAATAGAGGATTGTTAGGGTTTGCCAAATTAGGTTTGGAATTGTATCAACACAAAAATTGGCATGTACCATTTGAGATATGAAGGTAGATAACCAGAGCTTGTCCCCTATTTTTGGCGGGGTTTAATGCACCAAACCCCCTGTGATTTGGAAATTCGGCGCATTAGCCCCCTGTGATTTAAAAAATGCGTCAAACCCCCTTGTGTTTTAATTAATCATGCATAGAACCCCCTTTATGAATAAATTTAACGATTTGAAAATCACTTTTCCTAATATTTTGATTGAATATGCAAATAAATATGTCAAAATCTCTGAATCATACAAAAATGTTAATCATTTTTCTTTTATTTGACAATTGAATTTGTTCACATAAGGGATTTGGCGCATGATTAATTAAAACACTGGGGGGTTTGACGCATTTTTTAAATCACAGGGGGCTAATGCGCCGAATTTCCAAATCACAGGGGGATTTGGTGCATTAAACCCATTTTTGGCGTTAAGGAAGACTCGTGCACGGGGGAAAGTACTGCGAGGGAATGCCACAAATGCACGATGAATGCAGATTTCTTGCCAGCATTGAGCTTGAAATGTTTGTACATGTCACGTTGCTTAACATTGAGGAATGCGCAATGCTATTTGTAAATCAAAGTGAAAAGTGTACATCAAGTGGTACACAACCCATTTTTTTGTTTCTTTGGTCTCACGGATACGCTACCCGGGTTTCATAGACACGAACACCGTGACATATTTGTGATAAAAAAATGTTGCTGTACAAGTTAGTATAAACCTCAGCATTGCTTTAAGGGTCTACTTGGACGGAAGGTTCTCAAGGGTTTGGAGGGCACAACATTGGATGGGTTGGTATATATCTTGATCAGCATAATCTTTCACTACACAAAAAATGACGTTGCAGTAATGTTTTATCTATCAGTATGTCATTCTTTCATTTTTTTTCAATAAACTCAAAAATACACGTAGTATCAAGATATAACTTAGACATCCAAAGCCTACCCTTCAAAAGCCTTCAAAAACCGAACTCCCAAACTGACCCTAGAGGAATTCCCCGTCATAAAAGACAAAGTCACAAACCTCGGAAACCAAAGAGGAGGCTTAGCTGCATACAAAAATATATCATGTTCTCCCTCTGCCTGCCCTCCTTCCTCTTCCCCTTCCCCTTCCCCTTCCCCTTCCTCTAAACCCCATTGTGCCATGAGCTCTGGCATCATCTCGGTCAAATCTGAACATATTCATTCTTATATTTTCTGCCTCTGTCATGCTAGAATCTTTTTGTACCTAAATAAATAGTGATAGCAAATATCATATTATCATATCCAAATTGCCACAAAAAAGCTTTAGTGACAAGAGAATGTATTTAATAACTAGTATGTTTGTAATAGTGTATTTAGCATGCACGGATACAAATTTGAGCATAGGGATTAGGGGGTGTAGTGATCTTTGAGAATAACTTTGATTTAATTTTAAAGTGACACAGTTGCCATATGGGTGAGAGATGTATCATATATAAGGGATAGATCCAAGGTGAAGTCCTTAAAAAGGTAGTATGGATAAATAGAATATAAAGGCAGATAAAAACTGTTGCACACAAAAAAAAGAAGGAAACTTACATGAACATCTTCCAAATCAAACTGCTCTTGAAGCTGCCTCGCAAGATCCTCATCCTGGCTAATACTAGAAAGCTTTTGATTTCCAGAAATGTTGCCACTTCTACTTCTTTCCCATTCATCAAGAGTAAGGAGATGTGAATCTTCCTCTTTTTCTTTCCCCCTATGTCTTTGACCCCTAATGCGATGATTATCCCTGAAAGGCTGGTTCATTTTCTGGAGAAGTTTTTGTGAAGCTGCTTGATTTTGAACGGGGAAAGATTCCACCACTGTAAAAGATTGAGCAACACTCCCTTCAGTAGACATCAAATGCCTAAACCATTTTTTCTAAAAATTTTAGAAATACTTTTTTGGTGTCAAATCCTAATCTAAGTAAAGAGAAGCCATTGAAATATCTTCCACCCTTCATAAAGAACCTATTCACTACCCTCAAGTTTAAGGAGTCAAATCTTAAACTCACTTTAAAAAAGAAGAGAAAATAACGCTTAAAAGGCACCACGAGTAATAAATATAAAGAACAGACCTTCTTTTGGTCTTGCTTCAGAGATGATTGGCTTTTCTTCATTTGGTTCACAATTAGATTGCTTCAGATCATCACCCAAATTGTCACCTCTTGAATCATTATGATTCTGTAAGTCTGTAGAGCTATCAGCTTTTCCAGTAGGCAGGGATACTGAACTTTTAGATGATGAAGACATGGAAGACTCTGTATAACAAATACTTCAACACTTGGTTCATAAAGATTCTTTAAATGCTTTAAGCAAAGCATAACTAGGAAAGACAAAACAAACAAATAATACACTACATGAAGGACACAATTAAAGGTAAAACACCAAACAGTGCATTTAAAATATATGGAGTGTATCATTAGACAAGGATCAAACTAGTGATACAAAAAATCAGATCAAAATATGTCCGAAAAGGATATAGGAAAATGTGATCACGTTATGATCCATCTAACTGCAGAAACCAGGTGAGACATGCATATACTCTGGAAGTGATATATCCCTACACACATTCATTTATATTATATATATCATATATGTGTAGACATAGAGTTGTTTGATACATAATGCACATTTACATGCGCATGTGCACTCTACAAAATAGGTATAGGAGATCAAATTTATATAATAACAAGTGTGTCTGGCTTAACAGATAAGTACCATAATTTTTACCAGAGTCTCTCTTCTGCTGAGCATGGTTCTTGTTCTTGTGATTGGCTCCAACTTGCAACTTTTCAAATGGCGGTGGACCAGAAGAGGCCCCTTCGTGAAACTGTCTCAAAGACGAGCGCGGGAGACCTGCATATTTTCGGTTCATTTGCCATTCCTCATAAAGTGGCTCAACAAATCCACCTAAAACAGTAACTGCTTTGGCATTTAAACAAACAATACCACTACGCACTATTGTTTTGTTTTCCAAACGGACCTGCCATGAACACATATGATAAAGAAGTTATGGAAGCTAGGTGCACACAAATTGGTGAGTTATAAAAAAGACAGGTGAATTATGATGATTTATAGAATCGGGTCAAGATAAAACTACAATGACAAAGTATACTATCATAGGTTATATTTTATTTAAAATTAAGAATACCTTAGTGCCAGGTATGACATCATCAGGAATTGATGGTATGTAAGAGTACTCTATCGCTGTTACTTCATAGTGTCCATCGGTGAGCTTCAATCTTAAAAGACGCCGACTTTTTGCATTTCCTGAGTTCTCAGTCACTTTGCTGCTAGATACATCTCTGACAGAAGATATCTAAAAAAAATGGCATACATTAGGGAAAAGAACCGCGCTACACTGAAAATGTGTCATCAGCATGTCTAGTACAGAAATGAAGAAATACTTAAATATGTTTCAGAAGTCAATTTCCCCAGAAGAAATCAGAACAAATGTGTTACAGAGGATATAGTAACTACTAAAAAATTAAGAAAGCCAGTTGTTAAAAATCCCAAAATAGGAGATAAACTGATGAAGAGTTACAATCATCAAAGCCTAGTTTTTGTGGACATTTATTTTTCATATAATACTAATGTAGTGAAAGGTCATCAGGTCAAGTTCGGTAAAAAGCTTTTTAGAAGATTGTTAATGACGTTTCCAATATAAATTACTCAATTAGCTCTTGGACCATGTGAAAGAGCTGATTTTAGTTTTTAGTCATGGGTCGGTCACAAAAGCTAAGGAGACAGAAACAAATGATTTAAAAAATTACTAAATAAGCTTTTATAGAGTACTTTTGTGAAAAGCTTTTGTTGTACACTTTATACCTTCATACGAGTTACAATTGATTATTATTACCAAGCAGATAAAGTAAAATTTGGTCAAAAGAGCTAGCAGAAATAGCTAGTCGAAACAGCTTTCAGAAACATCCAAGTTCAAATAGCTATTGTAAACAGCTAGCAGCTAAGAGCTAATACAAACAGCTAAATGTCAAACAGGGAAAACTTACACCAAATTTAATACAACCAGCTTTCTAATTATTTCAATAAGACTAATATGACCGGTGGTTTCCCCTGACACTTCTGCAAATAATACTTATGCAGCTATCATTATTGTTTTTCCTTTTTCAATTTTTTTTTATAGTATTACACTCTTGCCTTGTGATATTATTGTATAAATTTTTACTAATCATGCTGTGTTTGATTTCATTTATTTATAGTATAACAGAAGCTAGCTGGATAAGCTATTGGTCTCTAACTTTTTGTTCTTGGAAATTTGATTATTTACATAAAATTCATGCGAGCTACACTGTTTTTTTTGTGTCATGAAGTCTAGATGTCTTTTGAGTTGTGAGCTCTGAAAGTTATATTAATTTCCTAAGCAAATTCCTGGTAACTGGTTAATTTATGGTAAGCACTACATTCCAGGTAATTACCTTAACTGAAATTAGCTTAAAATTGTACAACGTAATTTTGGTCAAACTAGACTAAATGTAATTCAATAGTTTCAAAAGCTGTTAATTAGTTTACACTTTCACTGGTTGAGTTAACGTCTAAAACTCTATGCTTCTTGACCATTTGCAGAACAGATATCTCAAGATATAATCACTCAATGAGGCCATGGGCTAATACAACAATAGGTTAGCCATCCCTTTTCTGGACTACATAGCAGGGTATCCCTCCCCATTTATATCCGAATATCCGATTGTGGTTTGAAAGACAGTCTCAAACCAGAGACCCCACTCATCACGCCCTTAAACCAACCAGACCACCCAAGATTGATAACAACAATAATAAAAACATTCAAGCCTTAAGCTCAAAAGAGTTTGGAGTCAGCTAACATGAAAAGACGTTTGAAATTGGAGCTAAAATGATAAAAAAAAGATAGGATATGATAAAAAGGATAAAAAGATAAGATAAGATAAGATAAGGGATGATTTGAATTTGCACCCCATATTTTGGGCAATATTGAACTTTGCACACCATTTTCAAAATTATTAATGTGTGCACCTCATCAGCCCAAATTTTTTGAAGGAGTGAGGTGCAAATTCAAATGATTTTATAGTGGATTGTGGTGCATATATTAATGATTTTTAAAATAAGGTGCAAAGTCATATGTCACCCAAAAATGGGGAAGTCAAATTCTCCCATAAGATAAAGATAAAAAATTAGATAAAAGATTTTTAGAATAAGATAAAGAAAATAAGATAAAAAGATAAAGAAGATAAGAAAGATAAAAAAAATGAGATCAATCATCCACATGTATACTCTCTATACTCCGATCTTTCCAAAGTCATACTCTCATTCAATCCAAGAAGTAACATAACATATCAATGATCATTATCTTCTTACCATCTAAGGTAATGTCACTGTTATCATTGCTTCTACCCCCACTAAACTTGCACTCCATATATTTACTCTTGCTTTGACTCATACTTCCAACTTTGTTTTAACAATTGATCTTGTCTCTTAAATCAACACAATATCGTCGGTGAACATGATGCACCATTGTATATTTTCTTGAATTGACTTCGTGAGTTCATTCATAACCATAACAAATAAGAAAGTACTTGACAACAATACATGGTGCACTCCGATAGTAATAGCCTAACAGGGAACTTTGCATTCCTCCCTACACTAGTACGGACACTTGTAGTACAATCCTCATACATATTCATTATGATGTTGATATATAGACGTGATATGTCTTTTCTAATTAAGTACCGCCAAAGGGCTTTTATAGGTACCTGTCATACATTTTTCTAAATCAATGAACACTAAATGCAGATCCATGTTCGAGGCTCTATAATTTTCCATTAGTTGACTACGAAGGTGAAAGACCTCAGTTGTTAAGCGATCAGGCATAAAATTGACCACTCAAGATTGACATTAACTATAATTCTATTAAAATGCAATTTTAAATAATGTTTCTGTTTTTTTAGAATCAATCCTAAAAAATATGTTTGGTTTTAAAAGACAGAAAGAAGGAGATTAGATATAAGATCAAACTAGAATATTTATACGTTTAGTAATTTATTACAGAAAAGGAAAGAAAAGGTGGGTGAGAGTAAAACTGCAGAAAAATTGGGAGAAGAAATGATGAATGAAATGACAATGAACAATAGTTAGAACTTGAGTGTGAACAATCTTCTTGATGCAAATATATTGTATGCTAAAAAAGAAGAGCTAGAGTTTACCAATGTAGTCAAATAGGAAATCAAAAGCTGGATCATACTGACTGGTCACCGGAGGATCACTTTTGCAGGTAAAACATTGAGACAAGTTCTATCTACTTAATTATAGAAATTGCCCTAAATAGGAGCAAAAACGTTTTGAAATTCCAAAATAGGAGTATCATGTTTTTTATTCCCTAAATAGGAGTAATCTGCCAAGTTTGGAAGAAAATGCCATGTTTTAAAGTCTAATATTTCCAACTTGGCAGAAATTTACTCCTATTTGGGGAATAAAAACATGATACTCCTATTTTGGAATTTTGAAACCTATTTACTCTTATTTAGGGAATTGTCTCTTGAGAAATTTCTTGAAATAGGAGTAAAAAGGTTTCGGAATTCATAAATAAGAGTAAATGTTTTTATTACCTAAATTGAAGTGACTATTGCCAAATTTGGAAAGTGGTGTCATGTCTAAAGCCTAATGCCAAAACGCATTACTCCTATTAGGTCAGATACTCAGATGTATCCGAAGGAAAACTCAATGCAATGCAATCGAAGAATACAACTACATACACTATCAAGATAAAATTCAAGAAACAATAGATGAATAGACCTTAATAACTTGCATATAAAGAACAATACAGAGACAAAGAGAAGAAGAAGTACTTGAAGAACTATAGGGCCCTGAAGATGAGAAACTTTTCGAATAGAGGAAGGGTCGGGTAACGTTTTACCGCCGATGGATCGCAAGTCCAATTTGATAAGCTCTGATTCAACTGAATCGATGGTGGCCAAGCTAGACTGAGCTGACAGGAGTAATTTCACTTGATCAATGTCGCGGAAACACCAGCCTTTGTTTGCTAGTGTTCGAAGGACAGTCTCAATAGAACCCGACGATGAAGAAGAAGTCTCCATTTCAAGATTTTTTAGCGCCCGTGAAGTGTTTGATGTTTGGACTTACTGAACGGTTTTGTGATTTTCTCCCCGTTAATTATTTCAAATAATGGCATGAACTAATTCAATTTCCCAAATAAGACAAAAAAGTGTCAAAATTTCACAAATAAGATTGCATTGTTTAAATTCCCTTTATAGGACTATTTATGTCTGTTTAGACAAATATACTTTTGTAGCTTTTGAAATGTTTTAATTAATAATAAAATCATAAAAAATAATAAAGATCGTAAAAAAATTATAAAAATCGTACAAAAAATACAAAATTAATAAAATATTTATAAAAATAAAAAAAATTATTTAAAAAAAATATTTTTAAAAAATAAAAAATGTAAAATTAAAAGAAAAACATTGTTCCCCTGCCACCCCCCAGCACCACCAGCTTCCATCACCGAAGAAAAATCTGCCAACATTTTAAATAATGTCATAATGATGGCATATTCAATGAAAATGTTGGTATATTGAAGAGTAATTATGCCACCTTTTGTCATTTTCAGAAAAAGATGACATTTTTTACCAAAAGTGTCAGAAATTTCACTTATCGGAGGTGGTGGTGCTGGGGAGGCGGCAGGAGGCACTGGGAGACGGTGGGAAAGGTATCCATAATTTTTTAAATTTTTTATGAGTTTTTACTATTTTTAATTATTTAAAAAAAACTAAAAAAATAAATTTTTTATTTTATAAATATTTTATTAATTTTTTTATAATTTTGTTTACGATTTTTAAATATTTTTTTATGATTTTTATGATTTTATTATGAATAAAAGCATTTCAATATGAATTAATACCCTTAGGGGTATTTGGGGTAGAAAAAAAAAAGATGACACCCCATCCCTGAGGGCCCCCCAACACCGACCGGACAGCACGATGTGAGGATGTAAGTTGGACTATAATCACAACCTGACAGATAGAGAGTGGGGCTCCGTCCCCGGTACTTGCAGAGGCCCTATGCATTTTTCAGCATAGTGACCCCTTATCGCAGTTGCCGGGATTCGAACCCGAGACCTAACCCTTATGGCACTCCCTCGCTGCCAGTTGAGCTACGCCCACCAGTAATGTTTAGTCATATTTAGGGAATTTAAAAAGTGGTAGTTCTATTTGTGCTTTTTACGAACTCATTAGTCCTATTTAGGACAATTTCCGTGTAATAAGTTATGAAGGATCAGTCAAAAAAATACTTTCTCCGTCCCGCTAAGTTTCCCGCTTTCCTTTTTAGCAGTCCCAAAAAGAAGTTCTCCTTTCCTTAAATGGAGAGTTATCTACATCAAAACAGTGTCAAACAATGCAAAACAGTGTCAAACAATGTCGAAACAGTGTCAAAACAGTGAAATTTACCACTGGTAAGTTTATTTCCTTAATATGTGTGTAAGTCAAACCGAGAACTTCTTAGCGGGACGGAGGGAGTAATAATAATAACAATAATAATAAGCTACTCCCTCCGTCCGGAAAAGGTTCGCCAATTTTGACTTTCACGTGGATTAATAAAATAAAAACTCTGTGGTTAAAATTTGTGCAGAGGAGAGAGAATTAATTTTAGCCACATATTTCTTACTTTAAATGGAAATGACAAATCTTTTTGAGACATCCGAAAAAAGAAAATTCGGCAAACCTTTTCGGGACAGAGAGAGTATGAAGGAAGGATTTTCACTAGATACTCCGAGTACACATATGGCCGTATCGTACGTTTTCGGATAGTATCTACAATTTATTAAAAGTTTAAAAGTTTTTTTGGTGTTTTTTTTTTTAATTTCGGATACCTGTATTCAGACGGATACACGTATCAATTTTTTTTTATAAAACAACACCCAAAATTTACATAATATATTTCTTATATATGAAAAAATAAAAATAAATTTTAGATTGTTCTAATCTCACACACAAATAAGGGAGTGTTTGCAATTGCTTCAACTTTAAAGAAGTGATTTTTTAAAGTGATTTTGGGAAAAGTGATTAATAGTAAAAGTTGGTAGTGTTTGAAGAAAAAGTGATTCTGAAAAAAGTAAAAGTTGGTAGTGTTTGGTAAAAGAAGTACTTTTTGTCTAATAGAAAAAGTGAAAAGCAGTTTAAAGCACCCTTCCACCTGCTTCCAGCTTTTAGCTTTTAAGTGATTAATTTAAGCAGAAGCTGTCATTTGAAAACACTCTTTTTAACTTTTTTTAAGCCAAAAGTTGAAAAGCACTTTTTTTAATCAAATGCAAACACTCCCTAAGTATATGGACCCAAAGTAAAATGTGAGATGTTTGTTTGAGATAAATTTGGGAGCATGGAGGTTATGTGAGTACTTGAATTCGTCAACCTTTCCATAAATGAATCTGAAAATTAGTATATTCAGTGAAAATATGTGTTAGATTATCCAAGAACTTTGAGTAATTGCACTTTTAATTTCAAAATTGTGGTTGTTTGACGTTTTTCATTTTAAATTAATGATTTGTCGACTATATTTATATTTCGACATACACTAGTATGTATGAGATAAAATATGAATTTAATCCTAACTATCATGATAATGTGAAATGCTTCAATGTTATGAATGGACAAAGGTCAGAGGATAATATATGTATATTTTCAACAAAAAAATGTAGTTTTTAAAATTGGTAAATACACCCCCCCATAATTTTTAATATTTATAAATAAACTCCCATAATTTTTCATATTTATAAATATTAAGTCCAGTTATACCGATCGATTTGGGAAGACTAGTTCATCGCCCTCCAGACTTCTTTATCATTCGCTTACACCTGGGCCTCATGAAGAGGTTAATAGCTCCTAACGATTCTATCGATGACGAAGACCACTCCAAACCAGCTCAGCCGATCAAACTGGGGAGACTAATTCATCACCATCTAGACTTACTTATCATTCACTTACACTCGGCCCTCAGGAGGCGGTTAGTAGCTCCTGATAGTTCCACCAAAGACGGAGTCCATTCTTCGTTCCAGACCAGCTAAACTGATCGAACTGAGAAGACTAAGGAGTCACATCTCCTCTTTTTTTTTTTTCCTTTTTTTGAGGTGGATAACGCCAAACGGTTTCCTTGCTGATGGCGCAGGGATACCAGTTCGAAAATGGAGACTTCGGCGTTGAGGGGTCAATTTGAAACATGATGACGAGGCGATGCAGAGTCGATCGCCATGTGAAGGCGGCAGTCACCATCCGGGAAGGGAATGATGAGCGCGATCGCTAGCTGAGGATGCGATCTCGAGGTAGACAATTACATCGTGGCTGAGGATGCGATAATGATGTGAGGACAACAACGTTGTGGAGCCGGTCCGAGAATATATGCAAAGGTTCTCATTTGCGAGGTGTGGGGATGGGACCGGGCTTCAGAGTGATAACCACGCCGTGCCGAGGGACCGGTCGTGACATGAAGACATTACCACGGAGGAGCCGATTCGAAAATCCAAGCAACGATCATCATCCATGAGGGATCTATATGTGTCAGCCTCCATTTTTGTTAATCACGTGCGCCAATCATGATGTATGTCAACTTCATGAGGATTTATACGGTCAAAAAAAATACCCATCTGTGTTCTGTTGTGAATTTATATGTGGCCAGTCCGATAATTCTTTGTTGTTTTTGTCATGGTCAAAATGTTATTGTTATTAAGCTCTCATTGTATGTAGATGACATTGTTATCACCAAAAACACATGTTCCATGAAAGAAAAATTAATTGTGATTCTTGTTTTTTTCTATGTAGGACCACACATTTATCTTCATTGTTTTTAGGGGTCAAAGTATTTACATTCTACATTGTTTATTTGTACTTTATACAAAATGTTAAGTACACAAAATGCTACTCTCTCAAACCATTACCACTCTCAGCGATGGAGAATTATATTCTGATCATACCAAGTATTGAAGTAAAACAGGTGGTGTGTTATAATAATTGATTTTGCCATGATCTGAGATTACTTACGTTGTCCATTTAGCTTCTCAATTTATGTATGACCTATGTACTCCACATACTTTGCCCATTAAGTGTACTTTTAGGGGCACATGAGCACATCATATCACATCCTCATCAAATTCATGTCGTAATGCTCCTTAGTAAACAATAATTGGCTTCTTTGATGTAAATTGGACATGGTGTCCTTATAATAGCCACTCCGCCACGGATTATGTGACCTCCCTAAAAAAGAATTTAGCACCATGGCACTCCAAAAGGAAATCACATGTATCTAAACTTGTCACAAATGAAGAACATAGATCCGTTGCATATATACTATTCAATTTACTCCTTACACATGCTCTATTATGTACTTCGTATGAGACTTGGGCCTTTTTTTGTTCGAATAAGGATTATTACCAAGCGCCTAGAGGAGACTGTCTCATTGTATAAGTCCATTGCACCAACAAAGGGTATTGGCATGTAGGAGTAACCAATGATCTTGGATTTTCTATGATTAAGCTGGAGTTTGTATATTATAGAGTTATAGACTTCTCTATGTGTCTCGTTAATATTGTTCCATCTTTCATTTTTCAATTCGTCCCGTTGAGATTGTCTCATACCAAATTTGATAAAATTTGTGTGTTTCTAAATCACTATTACTTTATCCTTACTTCATCAATTATTCAATATCAACTACATAAATTCGTTTTTCTTAATAAGCGTATCACCTCCTCATGTCCCAAAATTAGTGAGGCGGTGGTAGCACTATTCTGTTAGACAAGCCATTTTTCATCTTATGCCTCATTAGGAAGACTGTAACTATTGTTCTGATTGAATTAGCCAAATAAATTATTTTTAATTATTTGTGCATAAAGTTTACTCAATATATTGATAAAACGTATTTTTAATATAATAATTCCGCAACTAAACAAATCCAAATACTTCAATCATTTTAATAGTAAGTTTATAATTTCAATGCATTAAGGATATTGTAATTGGAATGTGATTTTATGATAGGGAAAACTGTCAAATAAGTCCTCGTACTATTAAATCATCCAATCAAATCCTCCAACTACAAAAAAACAGTCAATTAAGTCTTTCAACCGGTAAACAACCGGTAAACGTTAACTTATACACATGGCTAG